TCAGTTGAAATGCGTAATGCTCTCTGCAGAATGACTGTCATACTAAATGGAAATGCATATGGTATTGGTTCAGTCCCATAAAGCAAATCATTCAAAACGATGATGTTAATAATTCTATCGAACGTCATTTGCTGATCTGAGCTGACAAACGAGGTGGAAGCATATGCATCGCTATCAGAGCTGTTACGAACAAAGGTAAAGTATGAAAACCAATGTTTGGCTAATTCGTGGTGGAGGAGGTTTTCTCCACCTCTAATTTTTTTTTTGTATCCATAATGGAATGGCTTATTATGGCTATTTATTCAGTATGGAATTGTAGATAGTCAAATTATAAATCTAATTAAAAGCTCTTGCATGGCACACTATTCTTAAATGTTTGTCCTCTGAGTGCCGTATGTTTTATAGCTAATTTTCTAACGAAAATCATCCTGTATTTGGATGTCAGTCATATGGATGTTTATCATCTGACGATGATTCAACCATAAGAAAATCATCCGAAATTCGAATGCATATTGTTAAAGGGCTCGAGCAATGCAATAATCATTCGAAGTATTGCGGATGTTTTGGTTTAGTGTATAACCGTTTTCTATACAAGAAGTACTCAAGACGTATGCAGACCAATCTCCGGCGTAATCCTAAGCTATTATCGACGTTTGTGAAGACAAAAAGGAAAGAGGATAGGCTACCGGTTGAGATTCATCTAAGCGAGAAAAGAGCCAACACTTCTTTAGAGAAATGTTACCTCCTGGCTGAGCATTTCAAGAGTGTTTTCAACGATTCAACGGCATCGTTAAGCCAAGTTGCTGAAGGGATCAGAGATACTCCCAGTGACGCGTTCAGCTTTGATATTTTCACGGTCATCGTCCATACTAAAAAAATGCTCAACAGAACTTTCCTCTCCGCTTTCAAAGGTGTTCAATATTTCGTTACAACAAGGTGTATTTCCCTCTCGTTGGAAATCTTCGTTCATGTTCCCGATTTTCAAGAAATGAGACAAACAAAATGTGGAGAATTACCGAGGAATTACTTCACTTTGTGCCTGCTCGAAAGTATTCGAGATAATCATCAACGACGCTTTATTTGCCAGCTGTAGAAACTACATTTCTCCTGACCAACATGGTTTTCACCCCAAACGTTCGGTCTCAACAAACCTCGCTCCTTTCATTTCCCTATGCCTACGGAATATGGAGGCAGGGGCACAGGTGGACGTCGTATACACGGATCTCAAGGCTGCTTTCGACCGGGTTGATCATGCCATTCTAATTGCCAAACTCGAGAAGCTTGGTGTTTCTCATGGACTCACTCGTTGGTTTGAATCGTATCTTACCAATCGAGAGCTTTGTGTGAAAATCGGGTCTGATCAATCGGAATATTTTTCAAACAACTCAGGCGTTCCTCAAGGCAGCAATTTGGGACCGCTGCTATTCTCCATATTCATTAACGAAATCGGTTTGATACTTCCAACTGGCTGCCGGTCATTCTATGCAGACGATGTCAAGATGTACGTGGTTGTACGATGCTTCACTGACTGCCTGCGGTTGCAGCACCTGATCGATAGTTTCGAAGAGTGGTGCTCTAGGAATTTTCTCACGTTGAGTGTTCAAAAATGCAATATCATCACTTTCCATCGCAAGCTAAAACCTATTGCATTCAATTATACGATCGATAACCAACCTCTGCAGCGTGTGGACAACGTTCGTGATCTAGGAATTACACTTGATTCTGCTTTGACATTTAAGCTACATTACACGGATATCATAGCCAAAGCTAACAGGCAACTCGGATTCATCTTTAACATCTCTGATGAGTTTCGGGATCCTACCTGTCTGACAGCTCTATATTGTTCTCTAGTGCGATCGATCTTGGAATTTGGTGCAGTAGTATGGTGTCCGTATGAAACAGTTTGGATAGCGAGGATCGAGTCTGTTCAGAGGAAATTCGTTCGTTACGCTCTTCGCCACCTTCCTTGGTACGATCCTACGAACCTTCCACCCTACGAAGATCGTTGCCAACTACTGGGTATTGAAACTCTTGAACGTAGACGGAAGATTAACCAGGCAGTTTTTGGCTGAATTCGAAATCTATGCACCTGAACGAGTTCTACGATCGAGAAGTTTCGTGCATACTGGACCCCGTGCAGCTAATTACGGATTACATTTTTTTTTTTTTCCTTTGGTTTGTTTTTTTCCGTCGATCTTGTTTTCCGTGCTGAGCACCAATACTACCGACGTGCCAGGAAGGCAGCTCCCACACCTGGACCCTACCTATCGACCCATCAACTCATGAACCGGGGACCAACGGCTTTACTTCCCATCCGAAGGAAGGCGTGATCAGAGATGTTATGCCTCAGAACATCCCGGCGGCGCCGACTGGGATTGAACCCAGGCCTGCTGGGGTGAGAGGTAATCACGCTTACCACTACACCACCGGCGCCGTTAATTACGGATTACATGATCCAATACGGTTCATGTCTGCCCGTTTCAATGAATTCTATGTTTTTTTTCGATTTCAACTGCACAGTGGAAACATTTCGTCAACGGATTCAACGTAGTCTGCTGTATAGGTGACGATACGGTTCGACTCATGCAACTGCTTTCAATCAGCAAATTGTTGCAAGACGGTGAGTAGCTGTCCATTAATGTACATCTGATGAATTTTGCTACCTGTTTCCTTTTTTGTTCCCGATCAACTCTGCGATGACGGCCTTGACTGATCCAAGGATAACTCCATGCCATAGGACGAGGTTATTTTTTTTTATCATGGAGACCATAGTATTATTATTATTATTCGGTGTTTATTTTTATAATTGATGTGTTTTTCTGTCCTTTTTATATTGTTCCTTGTATTTTGAAAAGATATGGGGTTTTTACGCCCATTTGCGCGAATATTTGCCAAATAGGCTTTTCTTTCGATCGTTGGACTGTTTGATCGTGTGGATCGAGCCTGGGAAGCCTGATTCCGGTTACGTTCATCAGAATCTGAATGCATCTGGACCAGTTTCCTCTGAAGATGCGCGCTCACTTCGTCTACTTACCACCGTGACCTGTAGTTCATCAGAGTCCTCATCATACTCCAATCCAGTAGAAGTTATTGTCCTGTCGGAAATAGAAAGTGCCTCCCCCCCCGGAGAACATTCTCGCTCGAAGCTTCGATTCGGTGGCCAAGGCCGTTGCTTATTAGATTCAATGTAGTCGAGATAATTTGGGAGCAACGAACCGAGAGTCCCGACAATTAGGATCTGCTTGTTGTTTTGGTTCTTCAAAACAAAACATGTGAATTGTTAAATTATTCGGGTTGCCCAACATACCAAAAATTCAGTCTGATGACACTCTCGGCACAGCTGCGGCACACGAGAAAAAAGTTGACGCAAAATAAGTGCGTAGAGTGACCACCCCTTGGTCTTATACCATCACCCAATTACACACGTTCAAGCCTATCAAGTTCACGATCCTTTGCAGATGTGATACCTTCCACAAGGTACCACCGATCAAAACCAATGGCCAATGTACCACCAGTGAAAACCATCTAATGTCCACCCACTTCATATCTGTCATAAATCGGAAATGGTTGATTGGTAGGCCACCCATCGCACCGGATCCTTTTGAGACGAACTAGTGCAACAGAAGAGTGCAGATTGGATCGTTGGTGATTGTTGTGTTCGATAAAAATGTCGGAATCCACCGTGACAGTTCGAGTAAGAGAACATGTATGAAGAGAGAGATGAGAGTTATCGTTTTATAGCAAACGAGTTGATTGAAATAAAATCGAGTACGAATCGGTCTCTTAGTCTTGGATCGTGAAAGGTGATAGACGTGTTTTTTTTAAAGCTATAATCCGAAGTGGGGATTTTGTGGTAATACATAATAGCAGATGGTAATACTTAATAGTGATGGGGTGTACTCACGAAATAGAATGCAATTGCATTTTTGATTGCGTTGATCTGTTCCTATAAATCCTATACTGTTTCGCTAAGGCAATCGTCCAGACCTGATGGAATATTAGGGGTCAATACGTATCGACACCCCCCAATAAGACCTGGGACTTGTATGGACATCGCTATTAAGCCCTGTGGATTTCCCATCGAAGTCCATACCAATTGAAACCAATGACTGGCAAGGATACCTAAGGAAAAACGTAGGAGAAAACGATAACATTTTCATCCGGGAAGACCGGGATTCAAACCTGGCTGAAATACAAAACCCACACACACCCTATGATGTGGTTTTTTTTTCTTTATCGTTCGTTCTGCATAACAACCTTGTAAAACAAGACAAAAATCCTTCGCAGCTGGCACAATATTGTCGTCGTTCAGAGGATTTTTGTCCATTCAGTTCGCCAGTCGCATTCCGCACCATCGTATTGGACCAACGGTTGCTGGAGGGAATTTATTTTGACCATCTTGACTGTCGTATCAACCCTCTCGACCGACCATGGTGTGGAAGAACTCTGTTGGCGTAAAGCTATTCTGGACGAAACGACGAGCCGCTGGGCTTTTCGCTACGAATCGGATGAGATAACAGTTTCATGGTGCAGACAATACTCACAGCATTTTTCCTTGGAATCCGAACCCAATGTGAAGCCCAATGGAGTAAACAAAGAAGTCAACCTTAGCAACGATTGGCAAAACGTCAACTCTCCACAGTGATGCCGTTTTATATTATGTCGATTGTATCCTACTTGTCAACGTTTGTCATAAAGAACCGAATAGTGTGCCATGTTGTGTTTCGGCACAGTGTGCTGCAGAGTTGATTGATGTCGGTACTATCAACTAAGTAACATTTAAATTTACCGTTAAATGCGTGTTCGATAAGCAACTTACGAGAGTTATGTCTACCATTTCGAACTGAAAGCCATTGAGTTCCTCGGCAATAACCAAAAACGTAACTGATCAACTAAAAGATCCAGAACTAAATGAACGAACGTAGCTTTCGCCTCCAGCGCTCCCCGAATGGAGCTGTGATTTACCACTGACCACAACACGAATCGACACCCTCCATCGATTCGAATTTCTCAAATTCGCCAAGCTTTATTACTATTATTACTATCATACCATTGGAAATAAATGCATCTCTTAATACACATATTCTTACGGGACACGATGGCAAATAAACTTCTAAAACTCTGCAGTATATTCATTATATTCTTTGCGTGCGGCCATCGCTTCCTCCTTGATTGACACGACATTGGAAATCGTCGGCACTGGGACCTCCTCGCCACTTACCTGTTCACCATCGTCGGAATGCTGCTCATGCTTCTGCTGCAGCTGCTGATGCTGCTCTGCCCCTTGGTCATCATCATCATCATCGTCTTCAATTTCCTCCACGTCACTGGAGATGGCAAACCCTTCCGAGGGCTTTTTGATCACATAACCCTCCACGGGTTCCTCCGGAACGTCTAGCTCTAGCTTCTCCTGTTTGATTTTGAGCAGCGATTTCTTGGTAGATGACGGGCCCGGACTGGGTGCCGGTTGGGATCCGCTACTCTGCACCTGATAATTGTGCACGACAATCTGATGCCGGACGCGGTCCTGATTCCGGAGGAACTCTCGATTGCAGATCGTACAGAGGAACCGTTGGACGTCCTTGGAGGCGTCCGAGTGGTAGCGCTGTTTGTGCTGCACCAGCAGGACCTTACGGTCAAATTTCACGTTGCACTGGTCGCACGGATAGCGATAGCCACCGACATGCAGCCGGATGTGCGACACGTAGGCGTTTCGATGGACAGTACGCTTCGGACAGTGAGGGCACTTGTAGAAGAACTGCTGATCCGGGTGGTGCTGCTGGTGATGGGTCTGCAGCATCGTACCGGTAACGAAAACGAGGCTACACAAAGCGCAAGAGTATTCGACATTTTCCGGTTCGGTTTTGATTCCCTTGTTGGAGGAGGAGGACGAGGAGGCGGCGACCGTTTTCTTCTCGATGCCATGGAATACTGTGTGATGGTAGCGGCGTGCGGATTTCCGGATGAAGATCCGCGGACAGTAGGCGCACTTGAAGCGATTGGCAATGGTCAGAGCGGATCCTCCGGTGTGGTAGCGTTGTTTGTGCCGTTGAAGGTCGGCTGGTTTGTAAAATCCGGCACCGCATTGCTGACACTGATGGGGCAGCTTACCGAGATGGTTGAGGATGTGCAGTTTGAGGGTATTTCGGTTGGTGAAGACCTTCTTGCAGTGCTGACAGGCCATGGATTTCGGAAGCGATGAAAGGACTTGCTTCGCGAGGGGCTCTTTGTCAGCGTGGTGGTGTGTTACGTGGATCGCTCGGGCTGTCTTAGTCATCAGCTTCCGGGAGCAGTAGGGACAGGGGAAGCGAACCTTCTTTTCACCGTCTTCGTCATCCGAACCATGCATCTCTTGCATGTGACGATCAACGTCCTTCTTGCGGATGAATCTCTCGTCGCACTGGTCACATCCGAACGGATGCTCTCCGGTGTGGTTCATCATGTGTTCCCGAAGGGATGTCTTATGCTTGAACAGCTTGGAACATACCGTGCACTTGAAGCGAACCGGAACATCCGGATGCTTCAGGGCGAAGTGTATCCGCATGGTCTTCATCGAGGGGAACTTCCGATCGCACTTGGAGCAAGGGAAATTACTCTTACGTCCTTCCCAAACCGTTGGCAATTTGGCAGGTGATTCGATGTTGTGAACAACCTGCTCGTGGCGGAATCGATCTTGATTGCGCACAAAGTATCTGTCACACTGGTCACATTTGTACCGTTCCAGGACTTTGTTCTTGGAATTCTCCCCGTGCCAGTTCTCCTTGTGTTTGTCCAGTTTGGTCTTCCGCTCGAAACTGCTACCACATATTTCGCACTTGTGCGGCATCGTCCCATGGTTGATGACGCAGTGCGACCGCAGTGCAGTACGATGACGGAACACTTTCACACAATCCGGACACTTGTGTCTCTTGGAGATCTTCGGTTTCGATTCCTCATCGTCACCAGCATGGTGCTCGGCAAAGTGAGCATCGATGGCTTCTTTTGTGTCAAACTGCTCATTGCAGCCATCGCAGTATAGAACCTGCAGCATCGGGATAACTTCCGTAACCTCCGATGGCTTCGTGTCGTGGAAATGTAAGATGTGCAAGTTACGACCCGACTCCTGTAGGAATATCCGCGGGCACAAGGTACACTTGTAGCGCTTGTCCGTATAGGAAGGAGAGTTTTTATCGTGATAGCGCGACACGTGATTATCCAGGCGGGCCTTCATCGTGAACTTGGCTCCGCACTCGTCGCATGAAAATGGGAAATCCATCGTGTGGAAGCGGGTGTGCGCTCGCAACGATGTCGTCTCGGAAAACTTCTTGGCACAGTAGCGACACGAATAGACCAACGCTTCTTCCGGATGCTTCTTCCGGATGTGATTCTGTAGAAATAAGAAAACAGTTAATACCCATCACAGTTTCTGCAATACAAACCTCCTTGCATTACCTTAATTTCCTTCATCAGCCGGAACGTCTCCTGGCACACCGTACAGCGATACGCTCCATCCGAACTAACTTCAAATGGCAGCGCCTTCTTTGGGATATCTTTCCCTTGATCCTCTGTTCTCGCTTCGCTGCTGGCTCTCGTCGATGCTTCCATCGAAGCTTCCATCGATTTTTCATCCTCTTCCGAATCCAACACCACCACATCACCCCTACCGGGCTTTCTATCTGGAATCTGCTGCTGCTGCTGCTGTTGCTCGTGATCTTCTTCATCCTCATCAAAATCCTCCCCACCTTCCCTTACCCCTTCTTCCATCCCATATGGCTCGGGCTTGATCAACATATCGCCCCTAATCAGCTCTTCCTCCACCTCCTCATCAATCTCCTCCCCATCATCGTCAATCAATCCGCGTTCATGTTCCTCCTCTTCTCCGTCCTCACCACCTCTTCTTCCACCTCCGGTATTTTCCTCATCGCTATCGCTCAAACAGTAAACCATGTCCTCCTCGAATCCAATCGCATTCTGAGCCAGCTCCTCCTGATGTTCGACCTTCACCTGATAGTGCATCAACTCCATCCGCTTCCGCTGCAGCACCTCATCCAAAGTTCTACAGCGTTCCCTATACTTATGAAAGCCCTCCAGTGTCATCTGACACATCCGGCAGACCGCACACCGGTAATCCATCTCCATCGTTACATGAATATCCACCAGCCGACCAATTAATTCGATCACTCCATGCTTCGGCTGCCCATCCGGTGGAAACAGCGGTTCCACGTAGAAGCCAGAAAAACACAGCCTACAGTAGGTCTCTGGATTGTCAGTGGGGCTGCAAAAAAAAAATGCCCGAAGAAAAACACACAATTACAACCACCAGGGAAAACAACATTCCAAGCAATACTCACATATCCGGTATCGTATCCGTGTCCATGTTTCCGACAAGGATTCGGAACGCACAAAATCGCACTACTTGATCAGAATCTACACGAGCAAACGCTGGACATTTTATATTTTCTCCTTTCTTCTGCCGCCTGCCAATCAATCTGTTTTCCTTCGCCACTCCTCACACTCTTCACTATGCACACTCTGCTTTGTGGCCATCAAGGTCCGGTAAAGTGAACCCTAATCGTCACTCTCACTCTTCTGATCAACCAAACAGCCCGTTGGAATGAAGGAGATGACATAATCACATTTGCCCAACCTTGTGTGGCTTACGTTTGGCCAGCGAAGATGCACCGCCTGCGCCTCGCACACTTTCGCGATGAGCTGCAGCAAACTGTCCCTTCTCCCTCCCCCGCAGGTAAAACAACTTGTCAAACAAGCATCGAAAAAGGAATAAAAAGGGAACTAAATCGGACGACGCCGGCGTCAGAGCAAACAGGTCAGGGCCGTATTCAGTTTAGCAGAATTTTGATTGTACACGCAGAAAAAAATTAAGCTTTTATTGGAAGATTACCGCAAAAGCTCAACGCAGATGTCGCCACTGCATGATGATGATAATGTTGACAGACTGCATATAAAATTCGTGAAAATTAGCATTAAATCATAATTTTCATCAAGCCTACGTGAAATCCTTCCAATATAACATTCGAATTGAAGAAGAAACCGTTTTTACGATCAGACTGATGTGCATCTTTGACTTTTCCAGGTGAACTTTCATAAGATATATTCATTTCATTTCACGGCTCCATCAATACTGCATCGAAAATATGATGGTAAACAGAAGTAAATTGCTCAATTACTCAAAATAAAGATGATTTGTCATCTTGTTATCACTTTGAAAACCATCTAGCACCATTTTATAGTATGGTGCGTGTTGAGTAAATCAAGTTCCGGTGCGTTTTCCGTCGAAAATTGTAAGTATCAATATGTTTGCTTAAAAAACGCCAAAATGAACATTTATTGAATATTGGCGTCCTATACAACCAATTCTCCATTACCACCAGCATGATACAACCTTTCCTAAGTAAATTCACTTAATTTCCACTTTCATCTTAGTGAAAATCGCACATATTTACCATTTTCTGAAAAACGCTGGAGCTGCGCAGGAGGTAACCTCTCCCTGTGGGTGCAAACTTGTTATGCATAATTTGCCATGAAAACATCTCCGATCCATACCGAAATAATAACAATTAGTTTTTAAACACGTTTTCTTACACGATTCAAGCAAAACTTTCCACGGGAAATTATTATAGTTTTTCTTTATGGACCGATTTGCCCCAAAAATCGTCTGTTTTACTTGGAGAATTTGGAAACTATCCTCCTTCTAGTAGTTCTCACTTCGAAATGTAGGAGGCGAAAGCTTGGAAAAGTTTCACTGCAAGACGCCAATACTACACTAATAAAATTCCACACATTTTTATTGACGAATTTTCATGTGAAATTCCACATGATTTTCATGTGACCACACATAAACAGAATCCACCCAAAAGCACACATGAAATTATATGAGTCAAATGAATAGTATGTGTGGTTGGCTTTTATGTGTAAACAAATTAAATATGTGTCCGACACATAGATATCATTTGTTGATCATGTGTTGTTGATCATGTGTTGTTGAATCATGTGTGGGACACATAAAAACAATCTTTGAAATTTTATCAGTGTGGAATCCCAGAAAAAAAACACACGTCTACGTAAACAACTTACAGGAATTCGAATGCTCATCCCTGATCGTCGACCGCATCATCTATCTAAAAGAGTGTGCTGTATATGTCTGTCTGGAGTTCCACTCCAATCTCACAAAGTACTCCCTCAACCGTCGCATTCTCTTGTCATAATGCTTGACATCCTAGCTCAAACCAGTAAAGTCCTCTCGAATCCATCCCAAACGAATTACAGTCGCAATTAAGCCCAGGTAACCCAACCAAGCACGCCTCTTTCTAAGCAATCTCTGGATTTAAATTTTGCAAAGAAAACGAACTTATTTGTAAGCGGCAGCTAGTAGGATGGATAGAGAGGATAGAGGACAGAGAGGATTTGGTATTGTGTATATGGAATCCACGACGAAAACGCATCAGGCAAATTAAAAAGAAGTATCTGTCTTCAGCTATATGTCAATAATTGACATGATAATTATTATCCGCTTCACAGTTACATATAGATTGTTGAAGGCTGAAATTGCCTGTTTTTCAATGTTGAGCTTGATGTTGAATCTTCTTTCTGTATTGGGTTATTTTAAAACATATATAGGATGATGTATATCTGTAAGAACTTCGTTTATTGCGCATAGCGATATTTTTTTCGAACCCACACACTTTCATCTCGATTTTTAAATCAAGATTTAAAGCTAAATAATAAGTTCACTTTTTGACATAAACTGACAAACTGACAGCTCGCTCCCATACAAAGTGACACCGAGGGGTGCTAATGAGGTGATTTTTGCAAATGTAATCGTACTTATTTAAAATAGTTCCAGCACAAACGAAGTGACATACGGAGCGGCTCGAAAACTTTGGTGACTAACCTGCTATTGCAATTTTTCAGTGTACCACATGGCAACACCACTACTACTGGATTGTACCACATGGCAACACTACTACTGGATTGTACTAGCATTTTCACCAAATGTGTTAGAATGTTTTGGTTCTATCTCTTTCACTCTACTCAAAACTGAAATGCATAAAAAAATGACAAAATGATACACTCTTAAAATCATTGTACACAAAATTAACTTTGTTCAAATCAAAACAAAAAAACTAACCCATCTGGTGGATGATGGCACAAGCTTCCAAGAAAATTCTATTACAGTGAACCACATTATTTTAATGGATTTCTTCGCCAGTTAGTCGTCTGTAACTTCGTTTGTGGTTCCAGTGTACCGAAATGGACAAAATTTGGGCTTGGGTTCCATTTTTAATGCAGATTACGACTGCATTTACCTCGGCATTTACCTCAATACCCTTAAAGAACCCAATTGCGGGACAATTACTACCGTGTCATGCTCATTTTTTTTGTGGAATCCTACCGATTGACGGAGGTCCCTCCTTCAGAAAAAAATAACAAAAACAAAAAAGGGGATCAAACGAATGTAAACATTCTTGGCTCTAGGCAGTGCTGTCAGCAAAGATTGAAAAAATTGGTGCTCATGGTGGTTGAAGGTAAAGCCCTACATTAAAAGGATGGACCAGTCAAATGGATAAGATGTCGTCTCTTTATAAATTCAGGCTTTTTACCTTTTCCAGTTTTGTGGTGACAGTCGTCCATACCTCAACTAGAGGGCTTTAGTTGAAGGGTGTTTGAGTGTGTCGAAGAATATTTTTGATGTGTTTAACACAAGGTGGCAGAGTGACTTACCGCCTGGGTTGACCAGTGTGCACGGCCATACAAATATTAAAAATGTGTATGAGGGGGATGAGGGTGTAGAATCTCTTGGAAATTTCAACGTGGTTTGCAACAGTACCTTGGAATTTCCAAAACTACATACTATCTGCACTGAGATTGACACCTGTCCATTTGTTGGTTGACTTCCGTCATTCACGGTGTAGTACACAGCAAAAAAAAAATGTAATATCGATCAATGTAATTCAAGCTGATGCGAGGGGCTGTCAACTTGAGTATTTTCGATTCATCTACCTGACTTGAAAAGTACGATACTTTACTTAATAAGCTACCGAACGAAATCAATGAGAATGCGTGATATGAAGGTTTGCACCCATTATTCGCAAAAACAAAAGAAGCGCTCCGACCGAATCAATTTTTATCTTCATCCGATAGGCCGAAGTGAATTCTTTGGCGTTTCAATGCGTTAGGCCGAGTTAAGAATCCGTAGGCCGAGTTTAGCGTCAAGAAGCAGTGTTAGACTTTTGACAATATCTCAACGATTGGTTTCTCTTTATTAAATCTTACGGTACGTACGGAAAGGTAAATAAATTTAGAAGTCATCAGTAATAATAACATTCCGTTTGGTGCTAAACTGCGCTTGATTAAGAAAGACTAAGTGCGGGTTGCGCTTAATAGGCCGGAAATGGGGTAGTTAACCCTATTAACTTTTAAAATATTTTGCTGCTAACGTTTTGTTTACTTTGACTATTATTTGTTATTTTGAGCGATATGGTTCCTACATGGAAAGAAAAAAAGTGCCCAAAAGTAAGTTCTTTTTACTCATCTCGGCACTATAGTGCAGGAACCCAAAAGTAGGTAAAGCAGGTCAAAGTAGTTTTCATTTAAGGCCCAAGCGCAATGACAGCGGAAGCGGAACGGCAACGGCAGCGGAAAAGCCCGATCTCAGTAAGCCAATTTGTCGGATTGAAAACTTGTTGGAACTAAATCGGCATCGGTTAGGCATCTTGATGTCATTTGTGACAACTGACAAACTTTCCGTTTCCGTTCCGCTTTCGTCCACATTGCGTTTGGGCCTTTACTTGTGTGAGTTTTCATTTACTTATATGGAATTTTCCACTCTCTACCCAAAAGTGAGTTAGTTGTACCCAAAAGTAGGTAAATATGATTATACTCAACGTTGGATTCCCACACTTTACTATCCCTGTTAGGTACACGAAACGAAAATCAATTATTTTATTCATGTGTTTCACTTATACATTTTTGCCAAAACATCAGCCTTATACATTCCATAAGACAAACCACATAGGTCCTATAAGAATGCATAAAAGGTATGTGTGACCGCTTATACATTTCATTTGACACATGATCTTCATTAACTTTTTGCAAGACGTCTGCTTATACATTTTATAATCAGCAAAAGAAATTTGCCAAAAGGTATAAGGAGATTTCTATCCGTGTAGTTTTGCTCCTCCGTTTTTGACAACATTAGAAGGAGGAAAGGAGACAAACTAGTCAAAAGTAGGTAAAAGTGGGTATTTTTACCGTGAGATAGCATCACCTTTCGCTTGCAGTTTTGACAGCTTAGTTGACACGGAGAACACCCCAAACCACCCTCCGACACCCAGAAACACAATCAGCACAGGCACAAGGTGGTAGAGTGACTTACCCCCTGGTTAAAAATGCAAGAAAACACCGTCGAAATTTCGCATTTCTATGGGCCATCACTAAACATTAAAATTTAAATTTATTAATTTTTTATTCTGATTAATTTCCCGTATAAACGCGAACCATAACATGACCTTAAATAAAATGGTTAAAAATTGTTTATAATCCCTGCTAAACTTTAACTAAAATGGTTATGGAACTTTACATGAACGTTTGTGTGATAAAGTTTGAACTTTATGTATTAAGGTTTTTTTGGAAGTGAACCTTACAAATAATGGGTTGTTAAGAACCATTACCATTCCAAATTCTTGTTTTCATCATACATTTTTGGGAAAGGAATTATATTGGAACCAATTTATTTATGATTTGAGAACTTTAATGGTAATGGTTATGGTAGTCGGTAAGGTTCACAGATGATTTTGTAATATCCATCAACTTTATGTGGAATATATCGCGAATAGGTTGCCTGTAAATTACTGATTACCAATTCGCGATATATTCCACGTAAAGTTGACCGATAATACAAAACCATTAATGAAACTTACTGGCTACCATAACCATTACCATTAAAGTTCTCAAACCATAAATAAAATGGTTCCAATATAATTCCTTTCCCAAAAATGTATGTTGAAAACAAGAATTTGGAATGGTAATGGTTCTTAACAACCCATTATTTGTAAGGTTCACTTCCAAAAAACCTTAATACATAAGGTTCAAACTTTATCACACAAACGTTCATGTAAAGTTCCATAACCATTTCAGTTAAAGTTTAGCAAGGATTATAAACAATTTTTAACCATTTTCGGTAAGGTAAAGTTATGATTCGCGTTTATGCGGGTTAGCAATCATCAATTCAGTCAACATTCTCGGCAACACTGCCCACCATGCTGCGGCGACGGCGATGCACGTACGCGCCCCTGTTTCGCCATCTTCCCGATGCTAGCTGTTTGCGGTTAAAGCCCTCTAGTAAAAGTATGGACGACTGTCAAAAGTTATTCCAATCGAACCGTCAAAATGCACTGCTTTGCTCGATTGGAACAACTTTTTTTCAGTTTTGTGGTGACAGTCGTCCACACTTTTACTAGAGTGCTTTATTTGCGGTGCGTGCAGCATATTTTTGTTTCCCTCTCTTTTCTTCGCACGTCCTCCGGCTGTGTGCGTTCTGGGGTTCTGCGCATAAACACGGGTAAATATTTTCAAACCACTGTGCCTGTGTTGGTGCCATAGAAGCATAAACAGCTCCCTTTTGACAGTCTCATTGCAAAAATCGCCGATGACAGGAAGAAGAAAAGAGTAAAAATTTTCATTCTGGACACTGGACGGTCAGAAAAAGAAATAGGAGAACAAGATGGACCTTTCTATGTCCTCCAGGGAGGACCCATTCGCTCCGGATAGTATATTTTCCCAGCGAGATCTTCCGGTCGTGTAAGTTGAAGTGTTTTTTCCCGGTTGTTTTCGAGTGCAATTTGAGAACGCTTTGTTTCGTTTTCTTCTCAGGCCAAATGACAACCCAGAGTCGTACTGCCGCTTGTGTTTGACGACGCCTGATGTAGTGCCACTTTTTCCGACGGGCAGCGACCCGAATGAGTTCATTCTGGAACTGGTTGGGAAGTATATCGGCATCGGGTTGACGATCCAGGACGACTCCCCGTGCTCCGTGTGTAATTCCTGCCAGATGATTCTGGACCAGTTTGATTTGTTTCGTCAGAATTGTCTCAAGGTAGACATCGCCATAAGAAGAAGAAGGCTTGGGTTGGATCGGGTGGTGAAAAGCGAGCCACAAGATGACGACGATATGGAGGTGGAGCTTCCGTACATTAGATTGGAGAATAGAGTATACCAGTGCCGGATCTGTTCGGAAATATTCCGCTCGATGGCACTTTTCATGGCCCATTGCAAGGAGGAACACCCGGACGAGGCAAAGATGTACAAATGTAAACACTGCAGCAAGTCGTTCATGTCGAAGACGGCTCGACTGCAGCACATTCGATCTCATAGACCGAGCAATTCCGATAGCGACTTTGGCGGTCTTCGGGTTCAGGTCTGCGAAAGATGTATGGTCACATTCGATTCGTACAAACTACTCAAGATTCACATCAAAGAGCAGCACTCCAATGAGCCGAAACAGGATTCGCTGGTTTGCAATACCTGTTCCAGACAGTTTAGTCGGATTACGATCCTCCGGAATCATATACTTCGTGTCCATATGGGCAAGTTGCCTCACGTCTGCAAACAGTGCGGAATCAGTTATGGTTACGCCCAGCAGCTGGTTTCCCATTTGAAGAGCGAACACGGCATCAGTCCGGACCAATATGGTTTATTCCCCGAAGATGATGCGGAGCCAGAAGAAGCAACGGGTCTTGTTCCGCCTGCTCCTCAGCTTGCACCAGAACCTGTTTCCGCTCCCGATCCGGCTGCACCTCAAGAAGAACTTCAACTGCCACCTGTGGAAGAACCTGCCACCGACAATTCCAGAGGCAACCCATTGAACAAATACACCTGCATGGATTGCCGCCTGCAATGCTACAGTCAGGACGAGCTCAGACTTCATCGAAAAATCCATCAGGATCCGACCTGGTGGAAGTGCACCCACTGTCGTAATTTCGTCAAGCATCGCGAGATGCACCTGTTGAAGAAACATCCCAGCATCAGCGAGAGCGAACTGGAGTCATCGTTCATGCTACGCTACCGCTGCTGGATGTGTCGAATGTACTTCAAATCGTTGCACCAGATGGAAGTGCACGCCAACATCAAACATCAGGTCCCACTGCCGGATGACCACCAACAAGCACCACCAGTCGACGAACTGGAGGAGGGCGAAATCCGGTCGAACGTACCTATGGGCGCACCAGTGCCACCGATGATGCCATCATTACCGGCGATGGCTCTTCCGGGGCTGCCGCAACCGCTGACCGTGCAACCCCCGTTGCCGATTGTCCCGGAGCACTTTCCGCTGCTGCTGTCCCAGCTGGAGAACGGAGCTCTGGACTATCTGCGGGAGTTCAGTCGGTAAGTTGTTTGTTGTTTTCGGTACTTTATTTTCTTCTGAATTGGGACATTCGCGGAAAATAGTTAATGGATTGTAATCTTAGCACACACACGTACTGCCGCATATCACTTGGCTCCATGCTTCGTCCTGCAAGAATTAAGTTACAACTTTCCCACCAGATGGCTCAAAATTTACCCAAATGGCATTAGTTCAATTTTTTCCTTAACTCCTATTGTATTATCTCGGGTTCTGAGTAGAAGCGTGTTGGGGATGTTTTCAGTGGTAGAATGCAAGACTTCTCATGGTTCAATTTAGAAAACGTACTATGAATGTCGGAGGTTTTTGAAGCGAAGATTTCTAGGAGAAGGCTTCAAAGGAATCAACAAACGAGGCAATGATTTACAAATCCAGAATATTTCGGAGATAAATCACCCGGGTCGTCTGTGAAAGTGTGACAAATAGTTATTCTTAAATAAGGAAAATGACGGATTCGACAATTTCTTAACCTACCAATTGGGTGATTTGCAGCAACTAAATCCCGACTAAACAAAATTGAAAAGATAAGTTAAACATTGTTGTCACAGTTGAACATTTCTTTCCTTTGCTATGAAAATATTGCGCTAGCATTCAGCTGCACGATCCTGACGAAAGTTCTAAGTCTGGTATCCAAGCTTGGTCTGACATTCTGGCAAAAATATCCAAGAAGTTCAGACCTTCCCCACGAAATGGCCTATTGATTCCGAGTCAACGGCATCACAAAACAGTCCTGGACATAACAGCGACTCTGTGTGGAATGTGTCGGTCGGAATGAACGGTCAACATGCGAGGAAGACATGATCGGTTGCGATGGTTGCTCAAGCTGGTTTCACTCTCGCCTTAAGTTGAAAATAATACTGCCATAGCAAACCCTATCAGCAATTGGTCTAATGCCGCGGATACACTTGACTGACAAATTATGAGCATGAGCATTATTTGTATAATATGTATGAGCACTATACAACAACTATACAAGTGTGACCATCGATGTGCTCCTAATTTATTATACAAATAATGCTCATGTTCATAGTTTGTCATACCTACAAGTGTATCCGCGGCATAAGAGTATCAGAGACAGATCAAAGAAGTCAAGGTGCATAGACTCGTATACGAAACGCCTCCTTTACAGAGTGTCGACTACCTGAAAAAAACTTGGAAAATCATGAAATTCACTTTTGAATCTGTAAAATCAAGAAATCTCAGGAAATGTCATTCAAATTCAGGCAGTGGCGTTTCCTTAACCTCAATCTACCTTTGCACCTGAGACTGTGCACCAACCAGCGTTGTCAGATTGTTTTCCAGTTTATCGGTATCAGCAGTGTAAAGAAATCGGTAGTTATCGGTATTTATTATCTTAATTAATTTTATATGTTTGCCGTTTTTGATGGCGAAAATACAAAATTTTGGACTAAGAACGGAAAATTTGCTTTCCAGGAGAAGTCGGAAGAATTTTCCGGGCAATGTAGGAACTAGCTTCTGAAGGAAGCCGATAAAACTAACATAAACAGAGAAAGAATAAAGTAGCTCTTCTGGAGGAAGTTTGAGGAAAATTCTAGTCGGAAAAACTTCCGGGGAACTTCCAAGACAAATATTGAGAAACTTCTGGTGACAATTTAAAGAAGCTTTCGGAAAAAAAATCGGATGACAAATCCAGAGGAAGCCAGACAAGATTCGGAAAGCTGAAACTAATCTCAGGAGTAGCCATTTCCAGGGATAATGGCTTATGGAGAAAGTTCCAGATGAAAACGAACGGAATTTCTGGGAGATACATTTGGTAGAAGTTGAGACGCTGAAAAGATCTTCCTAAGGTAGATTGGAAGAAACTTCTGGAGAAAGTCGGAAGTCAGAGGGCTTACTGATCAGCCGAAAGAAGCTTCAAGGAGAAGTTGAGGAAACATTCCAGAAGAAAGAGATTTCTTGGGGATGTTAGCACAACATTCCCTGAAGTTCCTTACATGTTCTAATGATCCTGAGTAATTTTCCTATTTTTTTAAAAAACATCCCTGAAGACCCAACAATGCCCCTGAAGTTTCCTGAACATTCCTGAACAGCACTTTGGAATATCACATAATTCCTCGGAACTCCTTGAAAGTTCTTCATCCTCGAAGTACTCGGCACTTCCTTGATTATAATGAAACTACCAGAAAATCTCTAATCTGCTATAAAGGTATCCGGACTTTCATGAAGATTTCGGAACTTCTTAAGTGCTCAGCAACAGTACCATCAGCATCTTCCGTTTCCAAAATTTTCAAGAACCTCTCGGTTTTCGGAAATTATCCGAGTTTCTCGGAACTCTTTAAGTTCCAGTAATTTCCTTTAAATTAATTGATCTGTTCTAATGTTCTCAGAGCTTCCCTAAGTTCTCTGAATTCCCCCGGGAAAAAATGGAACAGTCCTGAAAACCATTAAATTTCCCTGAAGTGGTTCATTGGAGTCCTCTGGACTTTCCTGAAATTCTCGGGTTCTCGAATGTTAACAAAATTTAATGAACCTTTCTTTAATTCATCGGAACTTACCCTGAAAGATCTTTAAACTTACCCAAAAGTCTGGACTATTCTGAAGATCACTAGCGTGCACAGGAATCTTGTTAAGGAGCGGCAATTTTTTTTCTATGGTGCTTTAATCTGGGGATGGGGAGCACTCCAAATTATGTTGGGGAAACGGTTCACGGAGTGGCAGGATGTGGCCAATCTGGACCCTACTCTTCAGCATTCACCATGCACTGGTTAATTAGTCATCGATAGATGAAATTTCACACCACAGCTTGAACTCCACTTTATTGTTGCTTCCACGCACTTACAAATTAATTTTAAATCTTCACCTCTTGAGCTACTGATAAGGACGTGTGAGCGTGGAATTAAAATTGAAGCAATGGCGGATGCACTTGAGCTCCAAAGCGAAATAATCGGCATGTACATGCAAGGATAAAACACTCTAAAAAGCACCAGAAATCACTGTGACAATAGTTGGACAGGCAATTACCTTCTGCCTGATCTCAACAGGCCTTGTATTTAAATAATATCTGGAACTAATCTCCACTTCCAAGACGCAAGGAAGGTTAGTGTCACGATGACGGATGGCGTCACTATGATGGCACAATAGGGGTGGCTGTATGCCTATTCAGTCTTGGCTTTGATGGCGGAACACTCAATAGCCGAGATGACTACAATGGCGTCAAGATTGTTCCCAGGACAAAGAATGGAACACTGGTATTGTTCAGAACTTCGCTTGGAAAATGGCGAAGGTAGAACGGGCTTCTTTATCGCGCAGGAGTGTCAAAACGGTTGGCGACCTCTTGAACTGAATTGCCACTATCCTGGTCACGGCACCAAATTATTTTGTCCACCCACCACTGTTTCCCTACTGTTCAATTTAGCTAATTTTATTTTATTTTTCCTCCGGTGGTGGTTCACCTTCTTCAATGCCTTTCAGACAGCCAATGGAAATCTGCCATCACCTGCTCCCAAGAAATCTGCATCGCTGTCAGGACCTCAGCAATAGTATTGAAGATGGTCGTTGCGAATGTTTCCGTCGGCCGAACATTATCAATATACCTGATGACAATCGCCAACTGCTCGCAAGGTTTTCGCAATGTTCCGCAACATTACATTCAGTTACATTTCTCTTTTGAAATTCTTCTCAGAAGTCCTCTGGAATTATTTTTTGAACTCTTCTTGACTTTTACTCAGAACACCTTGAAACTTAAATTACCTTAGAATTTCAGAAGAATTTCTTGAGTATTGTCCAAAAGTTATTCCCGGAATGAGCTTGAATTTTTCCTCAAAATCCCTTTGGAATTTCACTCAAAATTAAATTTTCTCGGTATTCTATTCGGAATTATGTTGGAACAATCTGCAGAATTCACTAGAAATCATTCGCAGAATTTTCTTCTCCCCAGAAATCCTTTCAGAATTCAATATCCTTGAGGTTCTTCTCGGATTTTGTTAAAACTCTCCTAAGAGCTCTTTTGAAATTTGAACTGGCATTCCTTTAGAGTTTCAGAAATTTTTCCTGGAATGAGCTAGAAATTATCTTCTGAATTCATTTGAAATTTTGCTTAAAATCCCTTTGGAATTTCACTCAAAATCTGATTTTCTCGGTATTCTTTTCGAAATTATCTTGGTGCTATCTGCAGGATTCACTAGAAATTATTCGCAGAATTATGGAACCATCCCCAGAAATCTTTTCTTTTGGAACTGTCCTCAGAATTCAATACACTTGAGGTTCTTCTCGGAAGTCAAGTTTAAGTTGTCCATCTATTCACCAAAACGTTGTAGTTTTTCTACCAGAAATGTTCAATAAAGCTTGCCCCTCCATTTACCAGAACTGTGCAATTGTTACTCCAGGAATTTTCAATTCAGCTTGCCCCTTCATGCAGCAGATTGTTGCAAACCAGAAAATTTTACATAAGAAAATTTCAATTGACCAGAACGATGCCAATTTTCCACCGTTAATGTTCAATAAAAATTGCTTCTCCAATCTTCTGATTGGTGCAGATTTCTTTTTTCCATTTTCCACCAGACATTTTCAATATAGCTTGCTTCTTCTATCATCAGAAGGTTGCAGGTTTTCCATCAAATCAAGCTTGCCCCTATTTTCAGATTTTTCATCATAAATTTTCAGTAAAGCAGATTCTAATCCAATCATCAGAATGGTGCAAATTTACAGCAGATTTTTTTTTCTCTATTTAGGAGATTTTTAGCCGCAGGCTTGTTCATCTCCGGCGCACCAGAAATTATTATTAAAGTTTGTTTCTCTATTCAGCAGGAGGATACAAATTTAAGACCAAAAATTTTCCGAAAAGCTTGCCCATCCGTTCACCAGAACGGTGCAGATTTTCCACCAGAAATTTTCAATATAGCTTAATTTTAAATAAAGCTTGTGCCTTCATTTACCAGACCAGTGCAAGTTTTCCACCAGAAATTTTCGGTTCATTTCATTTATCAGAGCGATGCAAATTTTGCACCAGAAATTTTCAATAAAT